ATGTGGGTTAACATGTCATATTGTAGAGTGACAGACATTATTTTGGTATATATGAAGAGGTATATGGGCTGAAAGAGCTACAGCTCTACTGTGGAAGAGGCAGAAACTCTCCAGCATAAGCTGAAATACCGTGTCAGTAAAATTCAAGAGAGATATGAGCCACTGGACATATCCAGAGGAAACCAAGCAAGAATGACAGCAGACGTAGAGAACAGTACCTAAAATGAGAGATTTTTAGAAGTATAAATTATCTCGCCTTTATAGATATTTGCCCTAAAATTAATTGTATTAACTGTATTTACAATTAGAGGAGCTCAGGGCAACATGCTTAGACGTGAATGCGGCAAATACGTATGCTTATCAGTTTCCTGTGGCAGTAAGGTTCACAGTTAATTGCATATGAAATTTAAAAAGTACTTCCTTTTATTGTTTTGCTTTTTAATGTATCATGCTGTAAGAGAGGGGAAAACAGTGTATGAAGTATCAGGAACATGATGGCAACAACACATCTTTAATTGTACTTCATTGCCTCTTTTCGCCACCAGTCTCAGTTTTGCAGTGGCCCACAGAGTTGTGACTGTCAGCATACACAGTTCCTCAGGTGTGGTCATTATGTTTTACATAATGGCATTGCAGAATTCTGTATCATCATCCTCCTATTATTTATGAAACATAATATATGATTTTATTAGAATTTTAAGTAAATACACACAGTGAGCAACAGTCATCTTAGGGGTCTTTGGATTTCTGATTCCATTCCTTGTATTAATTTAGGAGCCTGTAAGAGAAAATAATATTTGGGGGTTTTTCTGAGTGTGTGTTGCTTACCATCTCTTCAATTTTATTTTAATTTGCTAGCACATTGATTTTTTTCTCTCTCTCTTCTTTAGGTCTCTCCTTTCTCACTGCCTTGTCCTCACAAACTGGCTAGCGTTGTGTCCTGTGCAAATACTATCAATAAACTACTTATCCATTGACCAGATCATTAAGAAATAATTTACCCATTATTTTAATATGAAAGTGGACTAGAATCTTAGGCCAGGATTCATCCCACTTCAGTTTAGGCAATTAATTCAAGTTAAGATCTAAAGCCCGTATCACTGACAAGAGAGTCATCTTGGGACATGATTTAACCCACCCCAGAAATGATCAAATCACCAGGTGTGTTCAGTGGTTATTTACAGATTTCAGTAATAATCACAATTTTTTTTGTATGTGATGAATCCATACCTTGTTCCTTGCTGTGATGAAAATCAGCTAATCTAATCCTAATCTTTGTTCTTTGCTTCCAGACTATTTCTATTGTACAGCTGCTTAGTTTCAAACAAAGTTTATTGTCTGAAATGTAACAGAGAACTCTTAGAAGACCAATAATTTTTGTCATCTGGTTGTGTTGATTGGAATGTTCAAGAAATTATAGATCAGGAAGATACTATTTTCCTTTGTAAAATCAGTAGCAATTAGACACTGTTTTTAACTCCCGAAACCACCGGACAAGGTGATTCTTAACGTAGCAGGATTGTTATCAGCTCAGCGATTCTGTATTTAAGGTTCTTCAAAACTCTTAAATATGTACCTTCTACCCCTGATATATTCTGTATTCTCCACTTTTGCTACTTCTTGATATCTCACAACCCACAAAGAAATCATTCTTATTGATAGAAAACTATTATAGAGAGCAGAAAGCTCCTGAAAGTTTTGAACAAGAAAGGTGAGTGCAAAAAAAGGAAAATAATTTAGCTTCCAAACTGTGTAATTATCTTCTTTAACTACTCCCTTAGCCTGTACAAATTCTGCTGTAGGCCTCTTGTTTCTGATATACCTAAGGAATATTTTATTGTTTATTTTTAAATGTTTGAATGTTTGTTCTTGGAAACCTACTTTTGCTCTTTGCAATTTCCTCTTACTTAACGCCTGCTGAAGTTTAAGTTCCTGTTTATTGGCTTCCCTAGGATCATGTTTCCAAAATTTGAAGGATTTCTGTTTGGTTGAAATAGACTCTTTAACCTTGCCATTCATCCGGTTTAGCTTAATCCTGCCTTCCTGGTTCCTTTTCTTGCACAGTACACAAGCCTTCAGAGACAGTTCCTTTTAAAGGAGTGTCCTTATTGCCTTTGCTGTCTTGTGTTTTTACTTTCAGGATCATTATGACTAATCTAAGTTTACTAAGTGTGTGAATTCTACTTCATTTCTTATTTTTTACTGCAAAAAAAAACCCCACAAGCAACTCAAATATGCTCAAATATGAGCAGAACCCACGAAGAACAAGAGGTAGGACAAAGAAACCAGTAAGGTGGGAGAAGGGGAGCAGGGGAGTATTTACTGCTCCCACTTTTCTGTACAATATGAGTGAACTGAAGGTGGAGAGTTGTCTGCACAATTCCGGTGAAGTTGAGTGAGCTGGTAACATGTCAGGTTCTGTGATGGCCAGCATTATTTTCATCCCTGCCTGCCATCCACTGCTGATGCTGCAAGGTAATGGCAGAAGTTCTGACTGCAGGTAGGCTGCCCACTGTGTCCTCCTAAAAAGAACCTTTTTCTGGACTGGAAAGCAAAAGGCCTGGCATGCTAAAATCCTCGTGTAATGGGTTGGGTACAAGTGCTGTTGCCACAGATACCCTGACAAATCCAGGGTCTTGCACTTAGTGCTTTGGGAAATCTCGTAAATCCATAGTAAGACACATCTGTCACCTGAAGGACCAGCACCTAGGGTAGCAAGAGTTGCTCTCCATGTTCTGCCTTTCCTTCTGATAGAGAGTGGGGCTTTTGACAGACAGATGGCTTCATTTATAAGTAAGAGTTTTGAGCATTGAAGTCATATTTGTCACATTAGAAACAGGAATCAATCTGTAATTAATGAAATACATACAGAATTCCTCATTGGCTTTCATTTAAGGTTTTCCTAGATGATTTTTGAAGGTACATTCTAAGATGTGTGTCCTTCTGCTAACAAAGGTGTATAATGCATCAGTGTTTGGAGCTCATTTGAGAAAAAGAAGACCAGCGTCAGGGCATGAAGTTACTAATGCTGTAGGTGGACAGACTTTTGCCAGCTGCGCTACAGGATTAGATAGCTGGGTTGCTAGACACAGAACTGCACAGAGGCCTCTTTGCCAAATAGAATAGGATGCTGGATTGTCTATGTGATGTCACATCTGCAACCCTTTTGTCTTGGAAAGGAAGAGCTTGCTTGTTCCACGTTTAATTGAAAAAGACAGAGCTCTGCAGGCTTATAACTGAATTACATCTTCTTTGGCTGGCTCAGAAGTAGATACTACTTTCTAGGATTTTTTTTTTTTTCACTTGAGAGCAGTGGCTTTGTCTTTTAACATTTGATCTTTGGAGCCATCACTCATCTCTCTGGTGGCATTCTGTTTCCTTAGAGCAGTGCTGGAATTCAGCCAACTCCATGTTTTGGTCACCACCAAAGACCTATGTGATTGCCGTTTCCTCCCCTATCACACATTGTGAGAATGTATTACTCCTGTCTCAGAGCAGTATCAGATCTAACACTGTCATTAACTATTTGTGCATTCAAATTTTAAAAATTGTCAGTGTCATTCCATTTTCTCCTGTTTTTCGGAAGTGGATTTAGCATTTTAGAATAATTTCAGTCTTTCTGGGATCTGGAAATTGAAGTACTTTAAGGTTATTTAGCCATTCAGGGTCTTCCTTTGGTTTTGCAAACTGGTGAGAAAGGAGAAGAATGTTGCCCTTCATTCTCACAAATAGGTTATGAATGTCTCTGTGATCCAACAAGCATAGAGGCTTCAGATTGTGAGGACGGGAGAGGCTTGGCCATCTTATTAGCACAGCTGACTGGGCAGAACAAAAAGGGTAAAAGAAATGGTGATTCTTTGGATAGTGATATTTGCGCATTTCATCAGTACAGCGCAGAAATGGATAGCCCATATTAAAACTGAGCAAGTCTGAACACTCTCTGGAAGACCTCTCACTATGTGCAGACATAATGCAACATGGATGGTCATGTAGCAACTCTTGTTTCTGCAGTTGAATACATGAGGTTTATTCTAGCAGCAAAACTCATAATCTAGCAGGTGATGTGCTTGTTCAAAGCCAGGTTTTGGACTGTGCGCTGAAATTTCTTGCCAAGCTTCTATAGGTTCTGTTGTAACAGAAGGCAGGCTAGGTGGACACAGTGTGGTCCTTCTGTGTCAAAATGTTTAAATTTATGAATATTTAGTTCTCCAAGCAAACTGACCCACTTTGCGGAACTGTCTAACATACATGGGACCTACCAGAACTCCACATCTCATAAAATTAGACTGCTTTTAATTAGGTGTCCAAACTTAGACTCAACCATTTATGTCTCTGAGACAGTACCTTGCAGACCAAGACATCCCAGAAAGGTAAGGCTTAGACATTTGGTGTCCAGTGCAGTCCTGTCTGGGTAAGTACTGTCAATATTATGCAGGACTGCAGTTTTCAATTATACTATTATTTGCCATTATTTTTATTATTTGTTATGTTGAATATTTGAATGACTTGAATATTGAAATGTCAGTAGTTTAATAGTCTGTTGATTAATAATGCCTTTTAGTTAATGCTTTGTACTTAAAAGTCCACTCTTGCAAACGCTTCATGGGTGATTTATCATGCTCACCTTTACCTTTCTGAAAGTATGTAGTGAAAGGTAGTCATCGAAGTTCCTTCACCAGTCAGTAGAGAAAGAGTCATCACCATGGGCTGATTCAGAAGTCTGTAAGGTAGATGATGGAGTTACGTTCCACAGGTGTCTTTCCCTTTCCATTAATTATGGAATTGATTAATTGGGGGTGACAGTTTAGTCTATATGCCTTTTTGATTATTCCGTTAGTTGGGTTAAATGCTGCCATTTCTGTCAGTGGGATTCTTTTCAGTGCGATTGCCAAAATTATGAGTGCTCTAGGTGCCTTCCATTTTTGCAGGGCTGGGCCCGTATTATTTTTTATAAAACATTTGCTATGTAATTACATTATTGAATGTTTCTTTTTTTGCAGCCAACATCTTGTACATGGCAAGCCAAGAAATGATGAAGGTTGTGGAGAGAGACAGTACAACCATAAAGCAAAATTTAAAGAAGGTAACTATTTAATCCTCAGAGTTTTCATGGGAAGCCCACATGCATGAGGAAGTGTTACATCCAGTTGTATTTGTGCAAAACCAAAATTTCAGCAGGCTTGATTCTGCTTTTCTTGTAGTGTCATTCTGTTGACTTCAGAGAAGCCATTAAAGGGGTCACTAATCATTGAAATGTCATTGATCCACACCTTTGTAGATGTAGCATTCACCTCTATCAGATGTAGTATCACATCTGGTATGTTTTTTTCTTGGTGGAGGAGAAACAGTCTGTGTTCTAGCTGAGCCTGAGATGTGGTTCCAGTGAGGCCAGTAGTTACCTGGGTTCTGATCAGACGGGCAGATGGCCAGTCAGGACACGAGTGTAGGCTGATTGACCAAATCCTCTGACTTGGCTGCTGGACAGGTCAAGCAGAATATGTACCATCTATGTTGTGTGGTGTCAGTTAATATTGTGGGATTCTGCAGGCTTGATTTTTCCATGGCATCAAAACATAACAGAGGGGAGTCAGAAAAATTATTATGGCTCCACAGTTTCAGCCGTTCAACTGTAGTGTAAGAGAAGGATACGGGAAGTACATTCCTTGGAGACTGGAGCTACTGCTATACAAGTAAATGAAGTAGATTGGGGGACCTTTCTCCTGCACTGAACTTTCTTGTCTGTACTGATTTATTGTTGAAAGAGATCCTGGTACAGTTTTGGTCTGGACGGATAGCATTCTCCCAGTCAATTCCCAGGCACGGTTCAGGGGTTGGCACAGGCCAGGAACTGTTGAGTTTTGATGTGGTCACCCTGTTTTGGAGGCTGAGAGAATTTAATAGTGTGGCCATGGTCAGACAATTCCAGATGTCTTATGAGCCAGAAAACTGTCACATTTCATAAACTACTATTGGTGTAGCCTCTGTCTGAGTAGATAATCAGTATCACATTATTCTGTGTCCCTTTCCTTCCCTCCATTTTTTGGTATCATCCCTGTCTTTTTGCTAGAAGAATGATTCCAGCACTTTGCACTGGCAAAGATTTTCCTTGAAGAATGGAATTTTCTAGGACAGAGGTCCTAGATCTCTGTTAAGATTACTTTGTGCCTTGTAAATAGATATGGTATAAAGTTCACTTCATAAATCAGTCCTTCTTTTTTTTGGCTGAAAATTGATTTATTTTTTACTTATTCCATTTGCCTTAACTGCACTTTGAGAGGTATGTTCAGATGCTTCAGTTCTAGTTTTTTTTAAAGGAGTTGAAATAGCACACGTGAACAAGGAACACTACACTGCACTAGGCGTGCCTGATTTCTCAAATTTTTATTGCATAACATTCAGAGTTCTCCTGCACTTCAGGAGGAATCTCAGTGAAGAAACTGAAGGGCTGATATTGCAGATTGTGTCTTAAACAAAACTTAGAATCACAGAATCATAGAATGGTTTGGGTTGGAAGGGACCTTAAAGATCATCTAGTTCCAACCCCCCTGCCATGGGCAGGGACACCCTCCACTAGCCCAGGTTGCTCAAAGCCTCATCCAGCCTGGCCTTGAACCCCTCCAGGGATGGGGCATCCACAGCTTCTCTGGGCAACCTGGGCCAGTGCCTCACCATCCTCACAGGAAAAAACGTTCTTCCTAATATCTAGTTTACCTTCTTTCAGCTGATAACTGTTACCCCTTGTCCTCTCACTACGCTCCCTGATAAAGAGTCCCTCCCCATCTCTCCCGTAGCTCCCTTCAGGTATTGGAAGGCTGCTGTAAGGTCCCCCCCCCAGCCTTCTCTTCTCCAGTCTGAACAACCCCAACTCTCTCAGCCTGTGCTCGTACAGGAGGTGCTTACCATGGGTTGATTCAAAGCCCAATGAATTAAAGGAGAACAGTTGATTTTATTGACTGAGTCATGTCTCCGAGTGTTGGCTGCAAGGTCTGCCTGTTCCCCGAGGGAAAGGGAGTCGGTGGCACAGGCAGCGCCGTCACCCAGCAGGGCTCAGTCCCACAGGACCCGAGCAGGGTCCATCGACTTGTCCCAGACAAGACAAAGCAATGAACCAGATCCAGCGTCCCTCCAGAGAATCCTGTGAGGAGCAAAAGGAGACAGGGCCAGAGACAAGACTAGAGACAAAGCCACAACGTGGGTCCAGAGTCCATCCAGGAGACATGGCCAAAGACATGGCGGAAAGCAAGCTGGAAGGTGAGATCCATCCAGGTGACAGGCTGTGTACAATGTAGTCCTGATGTCAGTCTAGGACACAGGGCCAGGGACAGGGCTGGAGACAGATAGTCCTACAGTGTAGCTTGAGAGGCAGAGACTAAAGGGAAAGGACAGAGTTGGAGACCCTGAGCCCATGGGCAGGGAGTGTAGGTCAGAGTCCCGGTGAAGGCTGGTGAGGCCGTTAGTGCCCTGAAACTGCGGTGAGATGGCAGGTTACTGTGTTGGGTTACAACAGTGAAGATCATGACTTCGGGTGCTTTTGGAAATCTTAATCACAAGCACATGTGAGCTTTATTGGATGAGGATGACAGTGGTGACAGTCACCTGCAGCTCCAGTGACTTCAGAAGGTCCATTCAGGTGCTTCACGTTACAAAAATGCTTATTTCTTGTGCGGAGTGAAGGCACATAACCAACAGTAAGAGCTTGCAGGTGTCCTAGTCTGCTTCATCTGTGCTTTTGTTGACTCTGTCAATCTAAGCACAGCCTTGGCAGGCAGGAGCTTTTTTAAACCTGTGTTAACTTTATTTTATTGATTCTTCTATGTCCTCATACTTTCAAAGTGGCAAACACACTCAAGAAAACAAAAAGCTGAAGTGAGCTTTATAAGCTGGCAAACTGAAGAAAAAGCAGGTCTAAAAATGAAGCTAAACACTTCTTTTTTCATTCTTCTAGTAATTTCTGGGAATTTAAGAATTAAGGAAAAATTTTTGCGTTGGCATTATGTTAAATTTGAAGTGTATTGACAATAAAAATGGGCTTAACATATAAAGGTTGGAAGTTTATAAAAACAGGAACTATAGTCCAAGTTGCTATAGAACTGGCAAGCTGTCACTTCAAAAAATTTATACTGTTTAGTAGTCGCTGTGATCATACGCTAAAAGCCAATCTTAACACCTGACTTTGCCAGCTGCTGTGGAATAGAAAAGTTATTTCTGGATCTTATTTGCATTCTGTGATCTAAAGAAGAAAGAAGAAGAGACACTACATTTTCCAATCTTTCCATGCCCAGGTAATTATTACTTGTTAGGGACCAGGAGAAATTTTATCGCCCAATGCCAAATTCTTAGTCTAGCGGTGCTAATTGCTCAGATTTATGTTGAAAGAATAGGAGCTTGAATATTGTTTGGATAATTAAGTGAGGTATTTCACTTACAATCTATAGACAAAAGTTATGCACATTAAATATCAGTGGAACTAACTATGAAGAGGATAGAGATCTGTCTTCTAACAAAAAAATATATGGTAGAGCATGTAAAATATTCGCTCTAAAACTATTCGCCTGGATCAAGCAGTACATGAATGTAGGTTTCTTATTGCAATGACACAGGGAGTTGTGATCAATCACAAAATGCAAACAAATAAGGTAGGGAATACTAATATAGGATTTTCCTGGCTTTGATGGTTAATTATCACTAGCTGCTTGTGTCTAAGCCAGCTGAGCTGTGTTCTTTCACTGTAATAACACCAACTCCCTTTCCTATCAGAAACTGGAGGCAAAGATACTACTGCACTAAAGGAAGTTTATTGTAATTCTTGTACAAAAGGAAGTGGGTGTAATTCCATATTCTTAAAAGATGGATCAGCATTGAGCATCACAGAGCTTTTACAAATAGAATGAAAACTTAAAAAGGAAAGGGAAGATGGTTATGTTGGGCATTCATTAGTGTGCCTGTGATGGACAATGATATTTCCATATAGAGGCTCTCTACAGCACTTAACTTTTAAAGTCTGCATCATGCCATGTTCATTGCTTTGTTTTAAGACTTAGCCTTATTCACTCTTTTTCTGTCAAATAAGCTAATAATCCTATTGTAGTCAAGAAGATATTGCATTAAACAATAAAACTAGAGTGCTTACAGACAAAATTTTATTTTAAAAAATCACAGCTCAGATTTTATATTTATTGAGGTGTATTTTGTTCATTACTTCATGTGTAATGTAGTAGTCCTATTTTTAAGTGTAGAATCTGCTCCAAAGTCCATCTAAATCAATAGAAGAGCTCCCACAGTCTTCAGGAAGTCTTGATTCAATTTGGCAGTGAACTTTCTGTAGTGGTTCATAATTTCTTAAGACCATAAATCATCTCCTCCTCCAGCAACCGAATATCATGATTCTTTTGGTTAGCATGTTAAACCAAAAAAATGTTTATATGCTCCTTGAGTTTAGTTTTGGCAGTGATCTTGTGTATCAGATATATTGATGGTGTAAGGAAAAAGAGAGGAAACATCTGAAGTAGAGATACAAAAATGAAAAAAAAACATGTTGTCTGAGAAGAATCATTTTTAATCAAGTAGGGAAAAGTGTAAACTGGAAGTTTATGGACACATGAACCTATTTTCACATAGATTGAGGAAGTCTGTATTGTGGGTGGCTTATAACCACCCATATAGAGGGTGCTTAACAGTGGGAAGAAATTCAGTTTTGAAAAAAATAAATGAATGAAGTATATGTTTACCACTTCCTGCTTATTTCAGCAGTGTATTTAGAATTTAAAGTAATACAAGTTTATATCACACCAGTAATACCAGAAAATGTCTTCTCCAAGACTTACCAACTAAACAGTGATATGCAGAGACTGAGAGTAAAAATTCCAGAAATGAAGTATTTCCTTTCCACAGAAAAGTGCTAGGTTTTTCTTTTGAAAAATTGTCTTTTCTAGAAAAAAAATTTAAAACTGAACAACCAAGAACTATTTTGACCCCTGAAGCAGCTGTTTTGATGTTGCCCTGTGTTTTTGTTTGAGTCTCTGTAGACATCCACAGGGGTTTAGTAATTATTCCCTGTGAGAGAGCATGATCTGAAGATAAGTG